TTCTACAGTAGATAACGATGTGGAATGCTGTGACTGGCCTTGTGAGAGGGAACCTCTCCTGAGCCAGTTGTCTTCTGGAGCACCATCCCCTTTCCCCTCTGAGATGGACTGGCCACACAGGTCCTGACTGCACCTGAGGTGGGAGTAGATCCTCCCTTCCAGAGACTATTTTGTGTCCCCTAAATTGCTATGCTACTCTTTGCTCAAGGGCTGAGGGGTGAAAGCCTGTCTTTACTTGCAGCAGGCTCAAGATGAGGGACAATAGCCTTGGTTTGGTAGAGAGATCATTTCTCTTTGTTCTTAGTGTGGAACTGAAATGTTCACATCAGTTCCCACCAAAGATGACCCTGTGACAATTTGGATTTACTTTTTTTTTTTTTTTTTTTTTTACTTCTGGAGATCCCATTGTGACTGCTACACTAATCAATGTTTCTGCAGTAAATTTTGCATATTTATCAATAATTTTTGTGTCTGTCTGGAGGCATTTTGAGGAGTAACCAGAAAAACTGAACTATTAAATAATTTGCTTTTTACTGAGTGGACTGCCATTGTGAACAGTGCTTTTGTGCAAAGCTAGCGCGACTTGAAATAAAGAGAGGTTTGCATTTGGTTCCACTGACATGCAGTCCATGGTTCTCTCGTGTGTGTCTCTCTCTCTCCCCCCTCCCCACCCCTCCATCCTGCAAGGTCCCAGAGCAGTTCTGAGCTCACAGCCTTCAAATTTCTTACAGGTAGAAAATCAGGAATTGGGCTTCCTGAGACACAGGGTTACACCCTTTGTATGAGCCGAAGAGGTAAAGGGCTTGTCCCTGCAGCCAGCCCTGGGAGTGTGTGAGCGGTGTGAGTGGCCGGCTGTCCCACGAAACACAACGTTGCACGCTGGGCTTAGGAGTTGAAGCCAATAGAGTGAGGCTTTGAACCAGCTCCTATGTGAGAATCCTCTTGGCCTAAAAAGAGAAATGTTGAAAACCCTCAGGATACAAATGACTGGAGACAGGGCTTTAACTTTTGGTATTCCCCAGGTGGTTCCTGGACAAGATAACTGCTGCAAGCTTGCTGGAGCTGATGCCCCCTGATTGCGAGGGGACACCGCTGGCAGGAGTGTGGGTGCCGAGTCATGAACAGCACTAAAAACTGATTATCTGCCTTCTGCTCTTCACTTTCACAAATGAGATTGTGGAATTAAGGAGCTTTCCATGTGGAATAAAGGTTTTTAATTTTCCTACAGTAATGGAGGGGCTTACCGTCCTGCGGAAAAACAAAACCCATGTCTTGGGATGAAGAGAACATGAGTTCATTTCTGCTTTTAGCCCCTGGCTTGTACTTGCCCCTTCTATAAGCCTGCACCACTTGTGGGGGCTTCCCGGAACAATGCTGTGCTCAGGCTCCTTGCGTGCTGGCAGGGAGAGCCGGCGGCTTCAGGCACAAGCTCAAGCCTTCAGCTCAGGACTCACGCAGACCAGGAGTGGGAGGGAAGCTAAGAGCCAGAGGGCTGAGGCCCGCAGTGGAGGAATAGAAGGCAGGGAAGAGGTGAAACCTATTTTGAGCTTTCTGTGTGTTTCCCCTCAGTCCCTGCTCTTTGCTGCCTGAGGTTTCAAGCTGTGCAGCGAGGGATCTGAAGATGCTCCACTAACACAGCAAGGCTGAGCAAGCCGCCTCCGAGTGGTGGCAGTGCCAGAGGCAACGAGCTGTGAGGCGGTTCCTCTGGCAGGTGGCTGGCTCCGCAGGTGTCAGGGCAGGGAGAGCTGGGTACCAAGCAGGCGATCAATAATGCAAGGAGGCGGTCACATGCCCTTGCTGGCTGTCACAGGATTCCTCTCTCCTCAGAGTCTGGTTACTTCCAGAGATCAAGTTCCAGCCTCTCGGTTGGTGAATTATTAAACTCCAGCAGCGCTCCATTCCCTTTGTACCACGTCTGTGTCTTTCCATCCGGCCAGCTGTGCAGAAGCAGAGTCCTCTGGGCCAGTACAGCACCTCGTGCTCTCTTTTCGTGCCTTGCTTCTCAGTGGGGAGACAGGAAAAGTCTCTGGAGATGGACCTGTGCTACAGATCCACCATCTCCATCTATAAGGTGAGTGTCCGGCACCAAAAGCTGCTCCTGCCTGCCTAGGGGAGACGTGTGGGTGGGAGGAGAAGAGCTGTTTTCTGCCAAAGGTTGCCTTGAAGAGTGGGCAGCCGCGGGTTGGATCCGTCCCTGGGCTGAATTGCAGTGGCTTCTGTGGGCTCTGGGCTGTGTTTGAGAGCAGGTGGCTGGCAGAAGGGGAGGGTGACACAGGTCCTAAGGAAGATCCAGGAAGGAGTTAGTCAACCAGGGTGGTTTGGGCATGGAGCATGAAGGGCGGCACTCCTTGGTTGCTGGTAGGAAGGAAGTTTTCAGATGACAGTTTGCCCCTCGCTGGAAAGAGCAATCTGATCTCACAAATACTTTCCTACACACATGGGTGCTGCACCAAGATGGTGAGGGCTCAAAGAAGAGGGAATTGCTTATTCCAGCCCTTGGTCTGCTCTGATGTAGGCAATGAGCACCTTTGGTAAATACAGCAGGTAAGAGAGGCTGATCTGAAGCAGTCCATCCCTTCTCTTAGCAAGCTGTTGGCTCTGGCAGCGCACCAGATCCAGGAAAAGGTTGTGTTCGTGCCTGGATAATAAGCGATGGCCCTCACCCCGGCAGGCTCAGGGATGAGGGGAAAGGCTGCTCAGATCTCCTTGCAGTTACTCCCCTCTGCAGTGGGTGTGGGACCTTGGGAGAAAGCCATCTTCAGGTGACCTCTTGGCTCTGCAGTGGGCTACCTTGCCTGGTGGCATCCCTTCTCGCCTGGTTAGCTGCAGGTCCCAGCTACCTCCAATGCAGGGAGCTGACTTTGTCCCATGGCTGCGTGTCACCGCAGCCATCCACTGTAGGGGGTGGGGGGGGCGCCACA